ATAATAAATAGGAATGACTGTATGAAGCAAAATGTGAATGAATAGTCTGAAACACAATGTATATGAACTTTGTAAGCAAACCAATAAAAACTTTTTTAAAACCCACCAAAAAACTAACTTATGGTGATAATTACACCACTCAATAAAATTACTAAAAATCATTCAACTATATACTTGATATAGATACATTTCATTTAAAATATGATATAAAATATGTCTCAATAAAGTTGTAAAAAATAAAGCAAACAAACAAAAATATAAAGTGATAGCCATGCTTTTTAGCACTTAAAAGAGGTCTTGGCAGCCTACTATTTGGTTCTAAAAGCCTTCTGAGGTCCCAGCTCTTCTCACTATTTCTTAGTTGTTGGAATTGACGGAAAACCTCATAAGCAGTTCCTTACTTCACCTCTGCCTTGCATGCGGACTTCTGAGTTGTAAAACAACCCAGTGGTAGATAATTTGCTCCAAGACTTAAGAACAATAAATGACATAGTTGAACTTCTACATCTTGTGGTTCCTAACCTTTATACTACAATAGACAAAGTGCTAGTCAATAGGCCTTTTATTGTAAGAACTACCTTCCCTCTGTAACTTGATTTGTGCCACTATTAGAGCCTCTACTTGGAATATTATTGCTTTTTAATTTTTGACTCATGTGCTTTTAACTTGTTAGTTAAATTTGTGTCTTCTAGGCTGCAACACTTCCATGATACATCTTCAAGGATATGAACATGTACGGCTAAGCACAATTAATAACAGTGCATCTAAATTCCAAAATCAATCTCTATATGTTTCCTATTGCCAAAGGGGCCCTTTAGAGTAGTGAGAGAAGATCTTCACCCTGAAACCTACAGCGTCCCTTTTCAGCAGAAAGTAGCTAAGAGAATACGCTGTCCCCTTTTCCTTATGAATCAAGGTGAAGTCTCTCTCAGGGAGGAGTGATAGGGAATGGCAAAGGACACACTGACAAAGGAGATTAATCAGAACTGGCTTTGACAAGCACTGTGGCAATTGGACAATTAAAACAGACTTACAAGGGGCGGGGAAAAGAACGAACTGGGGAGGAGGGTAGAGAAAATAGGGCAACAATGAATGAATGAAAACCCCAAATCTCTGTAAATGTTCATTAAAATTAATAAAATTTAATAAAATAAAAAAAGAGGTCTTGGCAGCAGGTTTGCCCAATGAATTGAGTTGTGTGACTTCATGACTGCTGTTTCCATGAGTGTTGACTTCGATCCAAGTCAAATGAAACCTTTCACAACTGCGATCTTTTTTCCATTTATCATGTTCTTCATTGATCAAGTTGGAAAATTTTTGCTTTCTTTCTGTTGATACGTAATTCATATGGAAAGCTACAGTCTTTGTGTTGTTATTGTTGTGTACTATCAAGTTGAAACCCACCCATAGCTGACCCTCCAGTGGGTTTTCAGAGGCAGTAAATTTAAACCCTCCAGTGGATTTTCAGAGGCTGGTGGATTTGAACCGCATATTTTCGGAATTGCAGCAAAGCTTCTTGCCAGTAGGCCTCCAGTCTTTGAGTATCAAGGGTCAATAAATTCTTCTTGGTATTGTGAAAAAAAAAATAAAGAAAGAAAACGGCTGTCATATATCATTAGAAATAGTAAGTGTGAAATGGCATCAATAGATAAAGGTAAGATGTAGAATTCAATAAACATCTTCATCTCAATTCAGGAAGAAGTGATGGAAGACTCATGCATTAAGCAGATGATAGAACTTTTGTTGCTAAAACTAAGGAGGACCTGTCTACGGCCATACCACCCTGAATGTGCCCGATCTCGGAAGCTAAGCAGGGTCGGGCCTGGTTAGTACTTGGATGGGAGACCGCCTGGGGATACCGGGTACTGTAGGCTTTAAAAAACAAAACAAAACAAAACAAAACAAAACAAAAACCAAAACAAAAAAAAAGACTAAGGAGGATCTGAAGCGTTTGCTATAGAGTCAAGGACTGTAGTCTTCAATATGGATTGAAGCTCAGCATCAAGAAGACAAAGATTTTCACCACTGGGCCAATTGGGAGCATCATGATAGATGGAGAAGAGATTGAGGTTGTTAACAATTTCAGCTTGCTTGGGTCCACAAGGTACACTCTCGGCACCAGCAGTCAGGAAATTAATAGATTGATTGCTTTTAGAAAATCTGCTGTCAGGGACCTCTCCAAAGTGCTAAAGAGCAATGATGTCAGTCTGGAGACTAAGGTGTATCTGATTCAGGCCAAGGTCTTTCCAATTGCTTGCTACACATCAGAGAGCCAGACACTGAGTAAGGATGACAAAAGAAGAATCGATGCCTTTGAGTTGTGGTGCTGGAGAAGAGTATTGGATATACCATGGATTACCAAGAGAATAAACAGGTCTGTCCTAGAGAGGTTAGCAACCAAGTTGCTTTTTGGAGGCAAGGACGTTGAAGCTCTGTCTCATACTTTGGGCACATAGCCTGGAGGGACTAGTTCTTGGAGAAGGTTATCATGCTTGCAAGAGTGGAGGGACAACACAGAAGAGAAATACCCTGGATGAGATGGATTGACACAGTAACTGGCAGGTAGCAGATGTCAGAGTCAGTATGACTGGTTCAGGATAGGGCAGGGCTTCAGAGCTGCTGTACACAGTGCAACTTAATGGTACATAACAACAGCAAGCAGTACAAACAGTTAATGGACTCTTGACTAAGTGAAAGGTTAGAAATTTTAATCCACCCAGAGGTGACTCAGAAGAAAAGCCTGCCAATTTACTTCTAAAAAATGAGCACAGTGCATGAATTAGGTTGACTTAATGGCATCTGGTAACATTTTTGAACACTTACTCTTTATTTTATAGGAAATAAACATATAATTCTCCCATTAATCTTATATGATAAGTGCTATTGTCATTTTATCTCTACTGTTTGTTGGATATCATCTGTCTCTTTAGTTGAAGTTAAGAAACACCAGTTTTTATAAAACCTGCCTAAGAGTTAAACAGCAGGAATCAGAACCAGGCAGTCTGAGTTCTGAGGCTGCCCTCTCACCCAGTTTACAATCTACCTCTTTGGGTCACATAGTGTTATGGATTAAAGTCAGTAGGTAAACCAAAGGCTGTACCTGGAACACCTCCTTGGTAGTTTGAATTCACCAGCAACTCCACAGGGTAAAATTGGGACAATCTCCTCTTGCGATTTACAGTCCCCAAAACCCAGTGAAGAATCAGTTATGTTGTTAATAGGTGTGGTCGAGTCAAGTAGGATGCATAGCGTCACTATGAATAGTAGATCAGAACTCTGATATGATGCTAGGAAGGGTGAAGGGTCGGCGAAGGAGAGGAAGACCCTCAACCATGTGGACTGACATGGTGACAGTCGCAATGGGCTCTTATGTGGCAGGAAATGTGAAGATGGCCCAAGATAGGAATCAGCTATGAGTTTGTTCTAACTCAACGACAATGAAGTGGAGAGGCAGTGAAAGTTAGGTTGAGATCCTAACCTCTGATATCTATAACTTGAAAATGGGTGGTTGAAGATGTTTCCTTGTCAATATGAGGTTATTCTGGAGGAGGGTATTCCCAGCCAAGTCTGAGGGGTGTCATATAAGGAGAAGAAGACACTCAGAGGAAAGACTGCGATGGGATGAGCGACTTAGGGTGCAGCTGCAAATCAAGGAACACCTGGGCTGATGAAGGCTAAGTGAGAAAAGGAAAGATGATCCTCCGAAGCCTTTGAAAAGATCATGGCCTTGATGACACCTGAATTTTGTTGAAAGTCATCTCCTTTGCACACATTGTTGAGGCAGCCCTGTATAACTAACATAACCAGAACCAACGATCATCAAATCAATTCCAAATTACAGTGCCTCTATAGCATGAAGGAGATTGGCACTGTAGAGCTTTCAAGGCCCTAAATCTTTATAAAAGAGGACTTCTATGGAGCAGCTGGTGGGTTTGAACAACCAACCTTGTTGGGTAGCAGCTGAGCACTTGTGCTACCACAGGTGCAGGAAACAAATACACATAGCTAATATATAAGACAACTCTACAAAGCTTTCAGGAACCCGAGTGGTGCCGTGCATCATGTATTGGGCTGCTGACTGAGAAGTTGAGTAGCTCAAATCCACTAGCCACTGCATAGGAGAGAGATGGGCACTTTCTTCTTCTGAAGATTTACAGCATCAGAAAACAGGGGACAGCCATTATGAGTCAAAACTAACTTAACAGCAGTGAATGTTGTTGCTGTTTTTGTTTACATACATTTCCTCCCTCATTGCTGTTGAGCGGGAACTGACTCCTGGCTGACCCTCCACTGGGTTTCTGAGGTAAATGATGTGAGAGGTGATCATCCATCTTTCTCCAACAGAGTTGTTGGATTCAAACCCCTGAAAGGTGCTGCCTTTGTGTTGGCAACACCACTTCCTACAGATTAGTCCACCAGAGACCCCGGTGGTATGCACAGCTGTCAATTATCTGAGGGCATACACAGATTCTCTTTAGTTTTTGATAATTCCTATATTAGTAATTGGGAAAATGTGTATCATTCATAATCTTTATTTATTACCCAGGAATCACATACTTTCAAATTCTATTTAGTGTTAAGGCATAGATTCTATGAGTAGGGGAAAAAAATCCCCACTAGACACATAAGAACTCTAATTAATTAACATTGCAATAATCATTTTCAATTTGTAGAACTTATCCATTATTAAGTCTTCATACATAATTCATTGCACAGATGTTTATGTGGGTCAGAGCATGCACAGCTTGCAAACAGTTACTGGTTTGCTCTTCTGGGGATACTAACAATATGTACTAAGTAAACACAGTGAGATTGACTTTATTACTTAAAATAATTTTCATCAGTATGAAATATGAAGGCAAAACAGTCTAAAGATTGGTTAGGAAAAAAAAATTTAAATGTTTCATGTTCCAGGTGGAGTCCGGTTATACTGTATACACTCAAGTATATTCAAAGCCCACTCAAAGCTAAAAGCTATTTGCTGCAGTTACTCCACTTACATTCCCATCGTGGTTTGGGCAGGAGAGAGGCTTTCCAGCAGCCACGGCGGTGACCGTCTCCAGGATGGAAGACTCCTCAACATTGCTGCCTGGCGTTCGCTGCAGCACGTCCATTAGGTTTGTGATGAAGAAGTTGTTCTGAAGCGCAGCCACCCCTTTCTCGGGCAGGATGGAGGTCTGACGGCACACAGGGCAGGACAGGGTCAAACTGTGAGCAGGAATATAGTTCTGCAGGCACCTGTGGCAGACACAGAGGTAGGAGGCCATCAGCACAGGAGGGTTTATGGGACAGACCACCACCACCACACATGTAATCAGGTCCTATATGAACCATCCTGTGTAAGTGCCTTTCATGGTCTCCTCTACTGAGCGGGTATTTCAGAAACCAAGAGATAACCTGTGCTCACCTTGGCCCTGGAAACTGCTCAGACAAATTATTATGCTCCAGGAGAAAAATGATGTCATTGACTTCCACAATACTTCCTGTTGTTCACTGTTATCGAGTTCATTCTGACTCATGATGACACTGTGTGTGCAGAGAGGAACTGCTCCATGGTGTTATCAGCTGGGATCTCTGGGAAGCAGATTGGAAGATATGTCTCTCAAAATACCTTTGGGTGGCTTTGAGCTACCAGCCTTTTGGCTTGTAGTCAAGCACTTAACTGTTTGTGCCATTCAGGCTACCTAGAGTCACATGAAGTATGGTCCATGGGTGAGCAGTGTGGACCTTGCCCAGGAGCCATGGGGGACATGCAGAATTAGGCCCCACCCCCAGACCTACTGAATCAGATCCTCAGAGAATTTATATGCACTTTAAAATTAGGGAAACTTCAGTCTGGGATATCTAGTGTTGTACTTACAAACTTAAGATTAAAATCTGGAATAAGCAAGTAAAAAAAATTAACATTGAAACTTATTAAACAAGATCATTAGCAGATTTCAGATATTAAAAACATACCAAAGTGGAGATGACTGAAGTCTTGGACTTTAAACACATCAAAGTGGAAGTGGTTGAAGTAGGGATAAGATCCCAGAGTCACAGCAGCAACATGAGCTCTTCCCCTTGCCCCTCCCTGCAGACTCCGTGACACCACACTCCCTAGGTTCTCCTGTCTGCTAGATCTTTACTCCTGAGTCAGTGCCTTTCAGAGATAAGGAAGGCTCTATTAACAAGCCCTCTTCTCTCCCCAGGATATTAGATCCACATGCATGACTACAGAAAAGCACATTTATATTTCTTGCAACATGTCCCCTCTGTGCCATAGATCTGTATCCCAGCTATTTTCTTGATGTCTCTTGGATGTCAAGCCCTGACACTTGACAGGGCCAACTTCTCGTCTAAGTGAACCAGAACACTAGGAGTTATTCTTCAGTCATTCCACTTATCCCCCTTTATTTCCCTTATCCCTAAAGTTTGTTAAGATTTAAGTTCTCTTATTCCATTAACCTTGTACTTGGCATTTCTACACCCAACTTTGTCCTTTTTAAAACCATCACCACTTCACAGTAAAGTGATTCTTTCCAAGTCCAAAAGTAAACATTTCAGTCTCCCTCACTGCCATAGTCAACATTAAAACCTTTCCATGGTCTTCACTGATTTACAACAAAGATAAGACTGTATTATTTGGCAACATGGACTATACACCTAAGCATTTTCTTGTCTTTCCCCACTTATTCAGTCATGTCAGCCATGCTGGGCTTAAGTTCATCCAAAGCACCAAGCTCCTTCTCACTGTAACACACCTAAAATTCTCTCTATCCATCACTTTTTGTTTCATTTTCAATTATTCTTGGTTTGCTTATCCATCACTTTTTGTTTCATTTTCAATTATTCTTGGTTTGCTTAATCAATTCTGCAAAGAATCCTTTTGTAATTGGAATCAAGTCCCTCCTTATATGGTCTCTGGTTACTTCTAGTGTGTAGTATTTACTTGTCATTTTCATTTCCTATTAATCTGAACAATTTTCTCATGAAATGGTTTAGACGAATAGGACTGGGTCTCCACTAGGCAGTAAGCTCCGTAAAGTCAGGTACTATTGTTTTGCTCTCTTTACAAACCCGATGATGGCCTTTTGGAGGATATGTAGGGGGACACACTGGGGTGAGTGAGAGAGTGATGAGATGCCGTTCAGGGAGTGGCTGGTGTATGGGGGTGTGTGGTTAGCAGGAGCTGGTGTGAAGAGGTCTCAGGGTTCCCTTTCCTGACTGACAATCCCTGAAGTGCGGTCACTACAAAACAAAATTATCACATTCCTATTTTAAGAAAAGTTGCTGGCAACTTCAAAAAGAAATCATTTCAGTGCACGAGATGATACAACACAGCATCTTTGATTTGCTTGGGATCTTCTCACGGCGTCCTCGGTACCATCGAGTTGGAACTGACTCACAGCTGACTGTCTCCTTGTTTTCCACAGCTGCAAGCTGCATGGGAGGGGACCGGCCATCTTTCTCCTGATTTAGGATCTTAGGATCTCACCAATCCCCACAACTAGTTATGAGATGGAGAAGGCAGGTACAATTGGATTAGTCCCAACAGAGAGAGGGCAGAGGCCGACCCAGGGAAGTCCAGAAATGTGGACTCTCTCACCAGTTAAAGAAACAGGAGCCACAAACCAGACAGCTGAACAATGACTTGGGAGTCGGGCAGCCCTGCAGGGCTCACAGAGAGAGGCTCTGGGTGTTGGATATAAAGAGTGACATGTTTGTCAACTGCTGTAAATCAAATATAGTAATAGCATTTCTAGAAGTGTTGAGAGTTGTAGAAAGGCTTCAGGCCTCTTATTCATAGAGTCACGCTCCACTTGAAGGCAATCAACAATAACAACTGGGACACATGGACTGTGTGTCATCCTTTACGTTTTAGCCACCATCACTGAGTGAACAAGGAAAAAAACGCACCCAATCAAATCACACTCTTCATTCATAAGAAGACTTCTGGGAAATGAATTACAAAGTATAACATGAACAAAGTAAAATTCAAAAGAATTTTACCCTGAAACAGGGGCTTTCACTGTTAATGTCAGATGGATCTTGGCTGGAGGCAGAGAACAGATATTTATTTTTGTTTTATGGACTAAGAAAATGCATTTGACTATTTGGGTCATAATAAATTATGGATAATGAGAATTCCAGAACACTTAATGGTACTCATGTGGAACCTATAGATAGACCAAAATGCATTCAAACAGAACAAGGAGATACTGCATGGTTTAAAATCAGAAACAGTATGCAACAGGGATGTATTCTTTTACTACTTCTATTCCATCTATATTCTGAACATATAATTGAAGCAGCTAGATAACCCGGAGGTGAAAAAGATAGCATCAGGATTGGAGGAAGGGTCATTAACAACTTATGCTTTGTAAATTATAGAGCCTTGCTTTTGGTAAATGAAAAAGACTTGAAGCACTTGTTGATGAAGATGAAAGATTATATAGTTTTCAGTATGAAGTATATCTCAACATACAGAAAACAAAAATTCTCACAACTGGAATAGTTAACAACATGATAAATGGAGAAAAGAATGAAGTCATCAAAGGTTTGATTTTACTTGGATCTACAAACACCAGTGGACGCAGCGATCAAGGAATCAGGCAGTGGAATGTACTGGGTAAATCGATGCCTACTACTTCTCTAAAATGTTCATGGGCAAGGATTTCATTTTAAAGGCTAAATGAGCTATGGTATTTTCAATTGCTTCATATACATGTGAAAGGTGGACAGTGAAAGAAGATCAGAGAATTGATGCCTTTGAATTATGGTATTAGCAAAAAGTAATGAATATACTATGGATTACTAAAAGAACAAGTAACTCTGTCTTGGAAGAAATGCAATCAGAATGTTCCTCGGAAGCAAGGATAATAAGACTTTTCTCTCATATACTTTGGGCATGTGATTTGGAGGGGTCATTCCCTGGAAAGGGAGCTGTGGTGATTAGTGGTAAGGAGCTGTGCTGCCAAGCCAAAGGTTCCCAGATCAAATCCATCAGCTGCTCCGCAGGAGACTGATGGACAATCTCCTCCTGTGCAATTTACTGCCTCTGAAAACCCACTAGAAGGTCAGCTAGGAAATGGTTCTGACTAGACAGAAAACAACAATTCATTGAAGAAGGACCCTGTGCTTGGGAAACAGAGAGCTGGTGAGTGGAGACGCTCAAGGAGAGATGGGCTAACACAGTGATTGCAACTAGATATGGGCTTAAGCAGAGACTGAGTATGGTATGGGATTAGGCAGGGCTTCTTTCTGTTGTACACAGAATGGCTCTGTGTTGGAACCATCTCCACAGTGCCTGGCAATGTGTGCTACCTACCACAAGGGGCACCGGCAGTTCAACAGTTAAGTACCTGTTAACTGAGAGGCTGGTGGTTTGAATTGTTCCAGTAGCTCTGAGGGAAAACCTGTGCAACACTAGGGCTCCTTTTAATTAACGTACAACAAACAACAACTCACTGTCATCAAGTTAGTTCCAACTCATAGCTGACCCTACACTGGGGTTCCAAGAATGTAAACGCACGGGAGGAGACTACTCAACTTTCTCACTCAGAGCTGCTGGTGGATTCGAACTGTTAGAAAGGTACAGCCTTGAGGTTAGCAGTGCCATTCCAGATAGACCAAGCTAACAGAGCTCTCTTTTAATGTAATATGCTGTTTTTGTAGTTATGTGCTGTCAAGTCACTTGTCAAGACCCTATGTACAACAGCTCTATCTTGAGCCAACCTCATTGTCTCTGACACATCTACCCCATTACCCTACTCACTAAGTCAATCCATCCCAAAAAGGTATCTCTCCATACTTGCGCTGTCCTTCTACCCTTGCAAGCATGATGTTCCTCTCCAAGGACTGGTACCTCTTTGCAACATGCCCACAGTATGTCAGACGGAGCTGGAAAATCCTTGCCTTCAAGAAGCAGCCTGATTTCACCCTCTCCAAGATGAACCTGCTTGTTCTCCTTGCAGTCCATGGTATATTCAATACTCTTCTTCAGCACCACAGCTCAAAGGCATCAATTCTTCTTCTATTATCCTTAGCCCAGCTCTTTGATAAATATCTAGTAATTGTTAAAGGCATGACCTGGGTCAGGCATATCTTAGTCTCCAGACTGACACTGTTGCTCTCCAGCACCCTGGAGAGGTCCTTGAAAACAGATTTTCTCAGCGCAATTCTTCCAATTTTCTGGCTGCTGGTACCAAGAATGTTGATTGTGGAACAAAGGAAACTGAAGCTGTTAAAATCTCAAT